TAAGAGCATTCTCTCCCTCCCTCTGAAAAAATAGTTGGGTATAGTTAGGGAGTCACTATCAATAAATCGGCTCACCGTTAAATTAGAAACCAATTTTTTTTATTTTAAAAAATTAGATAAAAATATCAGATAAAAAATACGGATCGGCAAAAATACTTCATATAAATATATCGTTTATATATTAAATTAGCCTAAAAAAAAATTAGAGTAAAAAACTTGGATAAATTTATAATATTAGAAATTTTATAATTCTAAAAAATAAAAATTATGTCAAAATTATCAATAACTAATTCATCCATAAAATTTTTACTAAACTAATATAATTCAGTCAATTAATTTAAATACTTTCGGGCTCTCATTCAATCATCTAATATAATACCAAAAAAATATACCCATTAAATATTTTAAGAAACATCATACCTACTTATTATATACCAAAAATAAATATACTATATAATTTTATTTATTAAATATTTTAACTATAGTAGGGTGATAAATATACTATATAAATTTATTAATTAAATATTTAAACATCACATTCAGCGGGTAATAAAAAAAAAAGAGAATTTTTTTTTTTTGTTTTTTTGTTTTCTCGTTACAATGATTTCAACTATAGTATGGGTATTGCGGTCACTCCATAACTATGATTAAAATTTTATAAATTTATTTAGTTGGAAATTGGCCCGCATAAATTTGGTTTCACGTCTGTGTTTACGGTTTAGAGAGGGAAGGAAGAAGGAAGAGAAGAAAATGGGGCTAGGCTGATAGCCATTACGGTTTATAGAGAGTGAAGATGGAAGAAGTCATCGGCTTCACAAACCCTAATGGAAGTGTTCATCGGCTTCACAAACCCTAATGGAAGTGTTCATCGGCTTCACAAACCCTAATGGAAGTGTTCATCGGCTTCACAAACCTTAATGGAAGAGGCTTAGAGAGAGAAAAGGAAGATGGTTTTTAGAGACAGAAAAAGTTTGAAGAGGTTTTTCTCTCCTTGGGATGTTGTTTGAGAGAAATTCCTAACTGATTTTTAGAGAGAGAAAAGGAAGATGGAATGGTGATTTGGGATAGTTTGAAGAGGGTTTTTCTCTCTGAGATGTTATTTGAGAGAAAGTTCTAACTTTGTAAAGAGCCCTAACTGATTTTAGAGAGAAAAAAGAAGAAGGCTTTTCATTTTCTTGGGGGAAACAGCAAGCAGAGCTGAAGGATTGGGTTTGGGAAACTAATTGCTCCTGTAAGTTTACAATTTGCACTATATTGTTTATCTTTGTTATCACATAATCAAAAACAAAATATTGATTACTCGGGCCTGTAGTCACACTCTCTGCTTCTCATTAATCTGTAAAAGACTAAGTTTTGAGCTCTAATTTGTGCCATAAACAGTATTGTCATAAAAACAATTATCACAAATGATCACAGAAATCTGCATGTGTATGATTTTCTTTACACAATGATGTACTTTACAAAGTGATTTGCTATAAACAATATTTCATTTACACAATGATTTTCCATAATAACAACTGAAATCTGCATGTATTTGTTTAAGTTGAAAAAAAAAGGGGAAAAAGAAATCATACCTTCAGTCTGCAACTGTGGCTTTGAAGAACACAGTGGGGATAAAAATTTCTATTTTAGTTTTTTTTTTTAAAGAATAATTTTTTTTCAAAAGCATGAAAGTAGCAATGGCTGCAATACACAAAACAGGAAAAAAAAAAAAATCTTTCAAAAAAAAATTGTAGGTAAAAAAAGATACAATTTTTTGGCCTGATTTAAATCGTATTATGAAAAAGGAGCGATTTTTTCCCGACATTTTAAAAAGTCTCCGTTTAAAACTGTTTCCATAAAAACGTCGAGTTTTTTAAAAATCACCTATTAAACGGCGATTTGCTGACTAATAGTCTGTACTTATTTTTCCCTGTTGTAAAGCTACTCTAAAAAAATTTAGAGCTTTGCTTTGTTTTTATGCCCTAAAAATTTGATAATATGATTTCTTTGATTCATAATATTCGATGCCCCAAATTCATGTCAAAAAGCACGTTTTCCAATCTGGGATATTCTTCTCAATTGATGAGTGTTCCTTAGATATTTCACTTTGATCCATAGTTAGCAAATTTCCGTTTAAAACATGCTCTTTTGGAATCAGTTTAGAACTCTGAGTTTTTCAAAAGATCTTCAAAAAATCACGTTTTTTTTAATAGAACCGATTTAAATCCGTACTTTATCTTTTTTGCAAAACAACATTTAAAAAAAATTCCTCCCTATAGCTGTATATCTTCTTTAACTTAATATTATGGAATATTGGTTTAAATATAAGTTCATTAACAGTGGGAGTAAATTAAAAAGCTTGACTTAACAACAACTTCTATCAAAAATTTCTCGAATGAGTTCCTTGTACTGACAAAACAAGCAATATATTCCCCAAAAAAAGTAATCAAAACAATCCTATCTCAAAATAATAGGTAGACTTAGAGGAAGAGTAACCCAATGAAAAATATATATATTTTTCTTTAAAACCAGCATTTTATAACAAGCAAGTGAGAGATTCAATGATATTAGAGATTTGGGTAGCTAGGAGTTAGATTCAAAATTGCTCAAGTATTTTGGTTTTTTTTTTAATTTTTTATTTTATTTTTATTTTTTATATGAATAGAGAAGTTTTGATTAATTTCATATCTTACTTTTTATCTTTTATTTCATTGGTTGTACAACATAGCATTTTGGATGGACCACTATATTACATATTTGGGTCTTTGTGCTTTCTTTTAATTAATTGCAATCCCATATTGAGCAATGATTTCATGCAACGGTTGTATGAAAAATAATCATATACCTTGGTTCACAGTTCTTGTCTTTAGTATTGTTGTTATTTCATTTTATGCTCCTATGTGTTTTATGTTATGACAACATACTAAGTATTGTTGTTGGAGTTATTGAAAGTTTCAACAAAAAAATTGTCAAAGTATTACTCTAGTGACACTAGTAGAGCTATAAAATTATTGTTTAATGGCTTTAATATATCTATACAATAGTTGCAAATCATAATCTTATATTGTGTTAGATTTACATATCCGACTTTTTCACTACGTTTTTTTGAACCAAATCCGAAATATTCACGATTAGATAACTTACCTTTTTTTTTGGCGATCCCTATTTTTTACCCGATTTTTTCCTCCGACTTTTTGAAACAAAACCGAGTTATTTCTGACCTATATTTTATTTTATTTTGTTTCTAATGTTATTATGATTCAAATCAAATTCTCTTCACATTTGATAAAATATAGATCGGAAATAAATTGGTTTTGTTTCAAAAAGTCGGAGAAAGAATCGGGTAAAAAATAGGGATCGCCAAAAAATAAGGTATGTTATCTAATCGTGAATATTTCGGATTTGGTTAAAAAAAAATTCAATGAAAAAATCAGATATGTAAATCTAACACAATATAGGATTATGATTTGCAACTATTGTATAGATATATTAAAGCCATTAAACAATAATTTTATAGCTCTACTAGTGTCATTAGAGTAATACTTTGACCCTTTTTTGTTGAAATTTTCAATAACTCCAGCAACAATACCTACTATGTTGTCACAACATAAAACTCATGAGCATAAACTGAAATAACAACAATACTAAAGACAAGAACCATATACCAAGGTATATGATTATTTTTCAAAGAAAAAATCAGAAAATGCCCCTAATATAGGAGGGACAAGAACTGTAAACCAAGGTATATGATTATTTTTCAAAGAAAAAATCAGAAAATGCCCCTAATATAGGAGGGCAGTGATTTCATGCAACAATTGTATCATAGTATAATGCAACCATACTTCTAGAAAACCATGATTGTGGTATTTGTATGACCTAAAATTTTGCACACACTCTCTTCATCTCAATAATCAATCACCAAAAAAAAAAAACAATTCAATTTGAATCCTAGATATGGTCAAAATTAGTTCCCTCCAACAATGAATCTAGGCCATTGATTTAGTGAATTTCAAGGTCTTAGCCGTTACAAACTCAGAATCATTTTTTCCTTTTTAACAATGTTCATCTATTGATAATAAAGCCATCTAAAAAATGGAAAAAAAAAAATCCTTCTAAGGCCTAGATCTAAGCATCTTATCAAAATGGACGATCTATGTTAATTGGGCTAAAAAAATATTTTTTAAGTTGCATTTTCAATTTTTTCTTTTTTTGTGATTGTTCATTAAAATGAAAAGAGTGTATATTTCAAAATTTGCATCAAACAAATGGCCCTAACATGGTTTTTGAAGATTGTTGCATCATCCTATGATACGACTGTTGCATGACATCATTGCCCTTTTATTATTCCGCGACTTGCTAACTATGCTTTGATCACGTTTGAATGGTTCTTTCACTCTGATCACCTTTGACTGGTTCTGTATCAGATCACCATTGCATGACCTGAAGATCTGGAGAAGATTTTGTTTCTAATGTTACTATGATTCAAATCAAGATCCTCTTCACATTTGATGAATGCTGCTTAGAGCCTGGCTGGCCTAGTTTCCAGACCCGACCTTTGTTTTTTCATCTTTTTCTCTATTTTATTTTCTGTAATTTTTACCTGGCCTGGCCCGTACCGGCCCTGATAGAGCTACAGTCTGCTCTCTCTCTCTCTAAAGACGGGAAGCGCGAACCGCTACTGCATTCAGGGTACTTCTCACCTCTGCATCAACTCTAACCTGCACTATTCCTCTCCTTCCCCTCTTTCTCTCTCTAAACTCTGCAACCCCACCTCTCTCTCTCTCTCCTTCTCTTTCTCTCTCTAAACTCTGCAACTCCACCTCTCTCTCAATGCAAGCCCCCACCTCCACAGCTCCCTCAATCTCTTACTTCTCCTCGCGGCTCTCTCACATTTGCTCTCTCCTCAAAAGCGGGCGAATAACCCAAGCAAAGTCCCTCCTCCTCCCTCTCTTCTCTCACCGCCCCACTCTCCTCCCTTCTCTTCTCTCTCCTCCCCACCCCACCCCTCCTCGCCTCCTCCTCGACCTCTCTCTAACCTGCCTCTCTCTCTCCTCTCACCCCTCCTCCGCTCTCCAAGTGTTCTCTCTCATGAAAACCCGAAACCTTGCCCCGTCTCTCCTGACCTTCAACACCTTCCTCCTCTCTCTCTCCTCCTCTTCACTTCCCCTTTCTCTCTCTTACTCCCGCTCTCTCCTCTCTGATATACGCTCTCTCTCTCACCCGCCTTCCACTTCTTCTTACAACATTCTGATTTCTGCTCTTTGTAATCGCTCCCGGCTCTCAAGTGCTCTCTCTCTCTTCAAGGACATGCCCACTTTCTCTCTCTACCCTGACACTGTAACTTACAATTCCCTAATCCATGCATTTTGCAAGAGGGGGCTCTTAATGGAAGCTCGGGATCTTCTTGCTCGAATGAAAAAGACCGAAATTCCACCGAATCGAATCACTTATAACACCATTGTTGCAGGTTATTGCAAGCTTGGAAGAGTTAAAGAAGCTGTGAAGCTTGTGGACCTCATGTCTCAGAGCAACCAGGTTTTGCCTGATAACTGGACTTATAACACACTATTGAGTGGTCTCTGTGACCAAGGGAAGATTGATGACGCCATTAAACTCAGAGATGACATGATGGGTAAGCTCAGAACTCCTCCTGATGCTGTAACTTATAACACCATTATTAGTTCTTGCTTCTGTTGGGGTCAGAGCAATCGTGCTTTCGAGGTTTTCAAAGAGATGGTTTCGAAAGGGGTGGCTCCTAACTCTGTAACTTACAATATTCTGGTTAATGGTTTGTGTAAAGATGGGAAGTTTGATTCGGCAAATGCATTGTTGAAAAAAATGGTTGGTGATGGTTTCTTGCCTGATTCTGTATTATACAACACTCTGATAGATGGGTATTGTAAAAGTGGCGGACTGATTGAAGCTTTTAAGCTATTGGATGAGATGGTATCAAAAGGATTGAGAATGGATACTTTCACTTTCAATACTCTTCTCAATTGTCTATGCGAGGGGAAGAGAGTAGATGATGCATATGATATGCTGGTTTCTTCGCATGAAAAGGGATTTGTTTCTGATGAAGTTAGCTATGGAACTGTGATAAATGGGTTTTGTGAGAAAGAAAGTGTGGATAAAGCTATGGTTGTTTGGGATGAGTTGATGAAAAATGAGATTTTTCCAAGTGTTTCCACCTTCAATTCGATCATTAAGTGTCTCTGCAAATTGGGTCGGACCAGTGATGCCATGTCGAAGTTCAAAGAGATGTTGGAGAGAGGATTGGTTCCTGATGGTACCACTTATAATACTCTCATCCATGGCTTTTGCAGAGAGGGAAGACTGGAGGAAGCCTTTCAGTTTCATAACCAGGTGGTCGAGAAGTCTTTCAAGCCCGATGTGATCACGTGCAATATTTTGATTCATGGGCTTTGTAATAGGCGGATGGTGGATAAGGGTATTAAGCTTTTTGGAATGTGGGTTTCTAGAGGAAAGACTGTGGATGCCATTACCTATAACATATTGATTAGAGGGCTCTGTTATGAAGGCAGGATTGAAGATGCAATAAAGCTTTTTGAGGAAATGAGGGAGAAGAAATTGGGTCCTGATAAATTTTCTTATAATGCAATTCTTCGTGGGTTATCTAGAGCTGGAAGAAAAGAAGAGGCAGAGAATCTGTTTAGGAAGATGATAGAGAGTGGAGTTTTACCAGACCAGATTACCTATGCAGTATTGGGAAAGTCTCACTCTAAGGAATCTAAGCATGATAGCCAATGCCTAGATGAAGAGTCGGAATCCAAGTTTTATGAAAATAACATCAAAAAATTATGTAGTGAGGGTAGGTTTGAGGAAGCAAAATATGTTATGGAAGAATTGGTGCATAAGGGCCTCTCAATACCTAGCTCCACATATGTAGCTTTGATGGATGGGTTCATCAATAAACAGAATAGAATTGTGGAGGAGGGGTATAAGATAGCATTGTGTGATTAAAGCTTGCTCTAATTCTCATGGAACTCAGAGGGGCTACCATACTGAAGGAGCTTGGAAATTGCAGAAATTTGGTTCTTCAAGGCATTCAAAGGTTGCATTCACTTCTCAAAAGTTGCGGTGGTGACCTTGATGACTGTCAGGTATCTTTGAAAATTTCAGGTATTCTTGAAAATTTATATTATGTGATTTTTTGGCCATGAATTAGTGCTGGTTCATTGTTTAGTAGCATATCTTGTTTGTACATCGATGGTTTTGAATGTTGTGGGAAATGAATCTGTGAAATGCTTACTGGAACATGAAATAACCATTTATTCCTCAAAGAGGATATGTACCTTCCTTGTTAAATAAAAGTTAGCTGTAATTTGGTTTGTTAATGTATAGTAGATACTTCATTTTTTTAAGTTAACAAGCTGTGTAGATACTTTCATCTGCTGCAAGAGAGGAAAAATCTTTGGTAATCATGAGAAAACCTATGAAGAGTGATTCTTTTGTGGATCTTCCAAACAGGGCATTTGTGGCTTGCATAAGTGCCAATTACCGTTCAAGGTCTGCAACTAACTGGGCCTTAAGCTTATCTGTATTTATATCACCCCCTGGGTTTTTTTTTCCACGCTAAGTGAAGACCATAGCTGAGATCCCATGTGATTTTCATGAAGAATTGCATATTCTTTCTCATATATTGTTACTCAGAGGGCTTAAAATTTTGGATTTGTCTTGTGTTAAGCTGAGGAATCATCATGATAATGAATGGCTGCAAGAAGTAAATGATCCAATGGAATGAGAATTTGCTCGAGCATGTTAGGAGTCGAAAAAACCTCCTGGACAATGAATGGAGTGATATGGTTATGGGGAGAGAAAAGGGTGGATGAAGAGGAAGAAATCATACTGGAAAAATTGATGGGAAAAAATTGAAATGGAACATTTGCCGTATAGCTGAGAAACTCATGGTGGATCTTGCATATTTTCAAGAGAAAATGATAAGTCGTTAAATGGTCACCTATGAGATATAATGACATTTTTATGCATTGTCAATTTTTAGAGTGACCATGGAAATGGATTTAACATGATGGACAGTAATAAACTCATTACTGTCAAAATTTCAACATGGAAATAACCATTGAAAGATGGAGGTGTATGGATAACAGGACAAACTGACAAACATTGAGCCATAAGATAGGTAAGGCCAAGTTTGGGTTGGGAACATGAGCCCTAGTTTGTATTAGGCAGCTTGGACCACTTGTCTGATTCTTGGGCCATTGTTTTCACTATGTTTTGAAAATTAGTTACAGATGCAACTTTTGGTAAAATGAACTATTTAAGATTAGATTTTGTAGTTTGCTCTAGTGTATTGTGATTGATGTACTTGATACTTAATAAAAGGTTGAACTTTTGGGTTCATTAGCGACAAGTTATTGTTATCCCACAATCAAGAAGGAAATAAACAACTAGTTGCTATCCCTCCAGGACACACTGATATTGGCCGTCATGGCCAATTGAAGGTCAAAGTTCATTGGATTGTGAAAGTTTTTCTTTTTTCAAAATTTTGTACTTTAGTTTTCATATTTGAATCAGCTAGCTAATTGTTTATAGGTAAAGGGGGTTGTGAGTCAATAGAAGATTACCGTCCCACTCAACAGAGAGTTGGATTTCAGGGCTCACACCTTAATGAGGATTGGAACTGCAGGTTTTTGGTTAAAATAGGAGGCTTCATAACATGATATTTCTAAATTATTTATAGGTAAATGCTGGTAATCTTCTATTGACTCAAATCCAATTATTTATAGGTAAAGGCATGTAAAACGGTACTTTTTTTACGAACGTAGGTTCTGGGTAGTTTCACAAGATTAAATCCATGAAAGTTGTAGTTTTGCATTATTTTTATCATTTGGTTGGTGAATTTCTCCTAATAATGCATCAGGTTTGTGTAGAGGATTTGGGTGGTTGGGACCAGACAGGGTTCCATCTTTTGGAGTCAGATTTGAAACCTATGAACTTTTGACTGGTTCTCATAAAGGTATGTTCTCGTTTGTCTGATATATCTATGTTCTCTCTGGAAGTTAAGTTTTCTCAGATATACCCTGTCAAAGTTAGAATTATATATGTTCCATAATGTCAATTTATGTGCATAAAGTGATCTTATCTACTTTATATTGCAGTCTGTCTATTTATGAAGGAAAATGTGATCGTATTTACTTTGTATTGCGCTTATTATCTTTTGGAAAAACAAGAAGTGAGCAATTCCATGCACTAAAAAATGTTAGGTCAAACGAATGGCATCATTTTCTTGAAATCCTAGCTATTCGATGCATTTTTTATGCCAAAATTACATCTTATGATAAAATTTGATGGTGCACCTTACTTTGATGGTTTATGGTTGCAACCTTTATGTAAACCACACCTTAATAAAAACATTCTAATTTATTTTAAGAGAAATCAAATCATGTGTGGAGCACGTGGATTCCACTAGTAGATCCAAAGGACAAATAAGATTTAACTCATTAATGATTAATCACTATTTTAATAAAATAAATCTTGACAATGGATTATCAAATATTTGGCGGTGTCACTCAAAATTATTTGAAATAAACTTATAGGTAGTTTTACATATAAGTTTATTCTTTGGGAAATTTATTTTTATGTTATTTAAAGTAACTTGCTGAAAATGACTGGTTTTAGTCACTCAAAATTATTCCGAAATAAACTTATAGGTAGTTTTACGTATAAGTTTATCTTTTGGGAAATTTATTTCTATGTTATTCAAAGTAACTTGCTGCAAATGACTGGTTTTAGCATGAAACAACTAAAAATAGTTGAAAAATGTTGAAAAAGTAAAATAATTAAATGACATTATATATAATGCGAGGTATGTACCCATGTAACAAGATACATTTAGGTCTTTATGAAAGTTAATATATATATTTTTTACTTATTGATATGAAGATTTGATGGAGGAATGAAGATTCCTAAAGAAACATGAGGGCATGCTGCAGAGGCAGAATATGAGGCCAGTGAAGAAGAACTGATTTACCAGGTTGATTATTGTGGAGTAAGAACCCATCCTACTCCGAACCGTAGTCCTTTTCTTTTTTTATGTCACCAAATTCAAATACAAACTCTTGGATTCTCCACATCTTGTGCTTATATCTTGTCTATAAAATTACTGGAGATGAGAAAATATGAAGTTTCTATGTTTCAAATGCAAGTAACAACAACTCTCTCCCCCACACGTGCACACATTTTTAGGACGTTGTCTATTGGTGAGAATTATACCAGTGCATGGATTCATCCAAATAAGAGTTGCATTACACCAGAAAATACAATGTTAAACCAATGGAATGAGCAAAGCTTGATAAGATAGTGCACTGACCTCAACGATATGAATTTGAATGGGAAGTAGATCTTCAACTATCAAAAACGACACAACGAAAGCATTCCGTTCGTGTATTGTTTCCCTACATTTCTATACCTGTCTAATTGCACATTGTAATTCTCAATTACATCCTCAAATACTATGCTTGAAAAAAAAATCAGATATGTCTTCAAAAAAGAGTTGTTTCACTTCTGCAACCTGTGAGGCATTTATTTGAAGCAGGTCCTTGAAGACCACCAGAGGGTTATGCCAGTTAGTCCCATCTTTACTATTAGTCAAAGCACTAATGTGACTCAACCATCTCATCCAATGGAGAGTCTCTTTCTGGGTACTCAATAGCAGATTTTACACTGGCAATTGCAGCCGTGAAACTTCAGTCTTCATGTATTTTGCTGATGAGGTGAGAGAAACATGCTTTTGGGTTCAGGGAGAGACTGGTCTCTCTCTCTCTTTAACAACGGGAGGGATTGGAGTTTGAAGGCAAAGGAATTGCTGAAACCAAGCAGGCCTTTCTGAATATTATGTCATGGCTCCGGACAAGCCTGATTTATAGACATGGTTTTCAAAAATTTTGGGAAACCAACATTGGGAGGAGCCAATCTGTCCCTTTTTTGGTACCAGTAGTGGAGAGCAACAGGAATAAAGCCTTCCCACCTGCACAAAAATCAATATTAGATATCGGAGAACATTTCAGACGAAAATCCGAATATTTTTATTTCAACAAAATGATTTAATCGAAATTGTAGGGCAATGGATAATAGCAGGGACATAAGAATCGTCAAGGATTCGGAGGGTGTATGATCCAGGTCTAATGGAACGAACCTAGTAAAAATAATGTGCATAAGAGTTTATGCACAAAGGAATTTTCAAATTCATACGTTTTGAGAACTGGGAGATGAGGGCAGGAGATGGGGGCAGTGGTATGCGATTCAATTGCTAGTTTGTTACCCACAGTTTGGATGGGTTTGGCATTTTGTAAAGCAAAAAGATCAAATTTGTAAAATCAAAACAAAGAAAATATAATTGGGTGGTTAAGGGTTTCAAAATTTTAAACTTCGGGTACAAACTTCGGGTACAAGGGATTTTGGTGAACCAAAGAACTAATAGGGATGTAAATTTTAGGGAGTGGGGTTGAGGTTATTTTACCAAAAAAAAAATAGTTGGGGGAGGTTGTGGGGTTGAGGTCATTTTACTTAAAAAAAAAGGTTGGGGGAGGTTGTCTAGAAAGTTTGTCTTAACGGGGTTTTTGTAATTTTCCCTTTTATATATGCATCCGTATAAAGTTGAGTTTTTAAACAATCAAAGTCAGGTGCACCTTCAAATGGTATCGAAAGATGCTTGTTTCGACACTAGAAATATTTATGATGGCTTGAAAATTTATTCATTTCTAGTTATAAAATTTAAAACTTCAATAGGTGTAGATTGAGCAAATATATGAACACTTAGAAATCTTGAAAATTGAAGGTCCAAAAATACATTACAAGATGTACTATTTCTAAGACTTCAAATCTATTTTTTCTCATAATGTATTTTTGGACCTTCAATTTTCAAGATTTTTAAGAAAACTTTGAGTTCCAGCAGGCGACACACTTACTACCGCCCAATATAAACTTTGATAGACAATAGTGATTGTGACTTTGTATTGAAAGTAAATGACCTCTTTATACAATTTTATTTTTTTTACTTTTTTTTTAAAAAAAGCACACGGATTAATGTCCACGTTTTGTTGCTTGTATAATTAATAAATGGAGATATACGTTTTTTTTACCCTATAAAATTAGGGATGTGGTTAGCATGCGGCCAAGCCCGCACATGTATAAATGCGAGCTTGGCAATAAATATATACTAGCTTAGGGATGGGGGGTATATGACAGATAAGTTTCAAAGTATTGAATAATGGAAATGGGTTTAGACTGGAGAAGTCGAAAAAGAAGTATGCACCCGTATAAGTTCGCATGGAACATAGAGAAACATGATATCTTAGAAGCAATGGTTTAAAATACGGATCAGTGCTTCGGATCGAACACCCTAAAAACTCATCCAGATCGGTGAATCGGCGATTCGGATCGATAACTGACCTACTCGGTTGGATTAAGCTTTAAAAAAAATCTACAAAAATGATTAAAATTCATTATAAATGTTTTTTAGGAATCCAATAAGAAATGAGAGTACTACATTTAACTTTTATATTTTTCATCAATATACGAATATTGAGATGTTATTTTTCTGTATGAACTTATGTTTACCATTAAATTTACATCACACAAAGAAAAATTATCGAATTATCATGGATGGAGTATATAATCATATATGGACTACAATAAAGAATGGATTAAATCGATGAAAAAATGGCCACCAAAATCTTGAATTAGTGGAAAACCCTAAATTATTACAACCTAACTAATTATAATCCAAAATTATTACAACTAATTAACTATAATATTATATACTTAAATTAAAATTGTTGGTTTATATTTTATAGTTTATTTTATTATACAAATTTAAAATGTATTATTGATAATTGTAAGAAAAAATAGTACATTACATAATTTATCGTACAAATAAATTGCAAGAAAAAATAGTACATTATATTTTATAGTTTATTTTATTATATTAATTTAAAATGTCTTATTGACAATTGTAAGAAAAAATAGTACATCACATAACTTATAATACAAATAAATTAAAATAAATAAAATAAAATATTTGGTTATCAATGTAGAAATAAATTCTAAAGTGGTATGAGTTAGTGTTATTTTTCTCTCTTAAAATATCCTCTAAACTAATA